AAGTTACCTTATTTGATGAACTTGGAATAACAATTTCAGAGTTTGCAGCGATACCGAATACGAGCTTGTATGGACGATTTTATATAACGTATTAATGTCGTCAATCAATGAGTCGGCTTTTTCTGAATACCAAGAAATTTAGAAGGAAACGACGCACTACAATTGAAGGCGGACCTTTTGCAAATGGAAGTGCACGATTTGCAGCAGACAAGAGGATCCCTATGAGTCGATTATCAGGAAGTTTATGACTGACGAGTGTTTTAAACAGGCCAAAATAAATAGACAGCATTTGTACAGCAAGTGATGAATCATCTGCACGCAACGTAATCTGAAAGAAAAATATTCACAATGAAAAGGGGAGAGCTATAGCGACTGCAAGGGGCTCATTGAAACACATGGTGTTTTTTGCTCTCTGTGGCCACATGGCACACATGGTACGCCAGCCTCGCATAAAAAAAGGCTGTTGTGAAATAGGCGCCGGTCCGTAACGTGTTCAGGCACATCTCGCGACAGAAGAAGTGGGTAGGTGGCATGAAAAGAGCTCGCAGGTACCAAGTACCTCGATAGCGTGAAGAGGAAAAGAAACCGTCGAGAACGCCTTAAAGACACATGTTACGATCACACATCTTCACCACCTTCTGTTCGGACTTTGCAGCATGAGCAACACCTCAAATGTTATCCGCATCAGGAAATTGCGTTTTACTTGTATTCCAAAGCGCAATTACAGGACTTGGCAAAGTGCCAAGAGCGCTGCGCGCGACACACGCGCCGCGCGGACGGCTGTTAGCATAAACGGGAGTCTGCGCCGCAAAAGGCATTGGGCGGAGCATGGAGGAATTAGCGTGTTTCACGGTCCTGTATCTCCATTCCTGCGCATGTTAGGACGGGGAAACCGCTACGCTTCGACAGCTGGGGGCTGATAGTCACGCACACCCAAACTATGTGTGATCGTACCATGTGTCTTTGCATAAGACCTCTTTTGAGTTTGTATGAGTTTACCAGGTTGAGACAGCGTTTCTGAGAATCTCTTACTTTGCATACAATTTCGAGCGCTTGTGGGAGGACAGAAGCACCTCTGCCCAACACGCTGACTGACTGTGACCTTCTCGTACATAATACTAACTCAGGGTGAAGGTGGTGTAGAGGCAAATGGACGGCTTGACACGTGCGCGGCCCTGGGTACAAGTCTATATCGGTTCCCGCCCATGCCAACCAGGCGTCATCCCTTCCAGGCCAGTGAATAGGTATCAGACTCATCTGGGATAATGAAAAACTGACTTGTACTTTGACTCGCCCGAGCAACTCACTGCGTGGGCAATATCACATTCAACAAGCCACTGCGCTTCCGAATCGAAATGTGAACCTACCGTAATGCCTACCGCATCCTAGAAGGGGATTGATCTACGGAAAAATGCTTTATCTTTTTATCCCACAGTCCCGATTCAGAATTTATTGTTAGACCCTGCGGACCTAACTCTAGGTCTGAGATACAAAGTACACTGGATACATTAGGTTCATCAAAGCTATATTCTTTCTCTATGTTTACGTTCTATGAAAGAGGGCCGGGGGGAGCCTCAGACACGTCACAAAACGCCTTTAATCATCAACTTACTCATAACCAGCATGCTCAGAAGGAACTGAAATAATTTTGTTATATTATGCGATGCACACTGTAAGCCTAAGCAGTTCACAAACCCTTTCACCCTCAGGACGTTCGGCAAGAAGGTTTAGAGCCGTTCTTAAAGCTCGCTTGCTCAGATCCTCAACAACCAATGAGGCCTGACGTCTTAGCCATACCGTTTCGAAAGCTAAAGTGGTACGCTCTATGGGACTAAAGACCTCTGCACCTTACCATTAGACGCGGAAGCGACTCCACCTAATAGATTAATACGCAATGTGACTTTGAGAAGACAAGTATATACAAGAAGAAAAGAATAAATGAACAAAGATAGCCGTTCAATTCTCCTATTACTAACCTGAGAAAGGAATGTCGACGCGTACAGGTGTGCCTTAGGACTCACATTTGTCCTAAAAAGAGACAATCATTGCAAAATCAGAGATAAACACATTAACGACATCGAGAGCTACCGGTGGTTCAAAAAGCCGTGTTCATACTCCGCGACTAGAGCGATTTGGTCGCACTCCACCGCTAATCCTTGGACCGCTGCAGAGTTCAAAATGATTTCTATTCCCGGTCCTGGCTGGCTATGTTTATGTTTATGTTTATGTTTATTACGCTGCCAAAAAGGCAAACGTGAGAAAGCAAACTAAAAACCAATTAAATAGAGAGAAACTAACAGAAAGTCCAAAGCAAGGTGAACGATACATCAGCATTCCGGAAAAAAAAATCGCTCAGTGAAATCAAATTACGAAGTGATAAGAAACTCACAAGGCGGCTAATTCAAAATCTGACAACAAGGCGATAAGAAGTGTTCAATCAAAACCGGAAACAGGAGACATGATAAGCAAGAGTCAATCTCAGTTAACTAGGATGTTTCATGACTAAGTAGCTGACTAGCTGCAAGCTTCTTGAACTGTCGAAGCGAATTGGGAATGGCCATATTCTTTGTAACTTTTTTGTATGTACTTGCTGCTCTAAATGTGAAGCTTGTGGCTCTGATCCTAGTTTTCGGGCAAGCTAAGAGAATTTTGGCTCGCCCCCTCTGGTTCGTGAGTCCTGTATTTTGAACAAATTAAAAGGCTTATACTTATTAGACTCATTCACAAGCTTGTAGACCATGCAAACATCCGCAAGCTTACGACGTGTTTCAAGAGAGGAGAGTTCAAAGTACTTGTTTCTAACGGAGGCTTTGGGGATCCTAGAATACAAGAAGCTCTTAGTTCTCAAAAGAATTTTGCGGGTAAAATTGTTTTGCACTTTCTCTAAAGCACAAATATCTCGTTTAGTGGCGGGGAAGAACACCGTGGCCCCACTCTCAACCAAAGGGCGAACGTAAGTCTTATATGCTTTCAAGAGGACTGACTTGTTTGTGGAAGACAGACCCTTGAAAACATGAACCGTCCTCAGAAAAGCAGAGTTACATCGATTTTTGATATGTTCAGAAAAATTGAGGGTATTGGAATATCGGAAGCCAAGATCTCTGACAGAGTTGACGGGAGAAACGACTTCACCGTATATGGTGTATGGGAAAGGAAGAGCTTTCGAACTAGACGAAATCCTCATACACAATGTTTTATGCGGGGCAAGAGGAAGTTGCCAAATTCTCGCCCAGTTACCAAGCAGGTCAATAGCTCTCTGAAGTTCTTCACAATCGGATTGCCCACTTATCCTCTTGTAAATTTTAACATCATCTGCGTACATCTTCACCGAGACACCAAGTCCCCGAAACAGACTGGGAATCTCCGCAGTGAAAATGTTAAATAGCACTGGTGACAGAACACCGCCTTGGGGCACGCCACTATAAGCTTCTTTGTTAACGGAGTAGCACTCCCCAACTCTAACTTGGAAAGTCCTGTCCCTGAGAAAATCGGTGATCCAATTAATAAGAATAGGGATGAAACTTCAATTCTTTAAGTTTATGGATTAGCCTTACATGCGACACCCGGTCAAAAGCCTTGGCGAAGTCAAAGTAGATAACATCACAACAACGGTCGTTATCGACGGCATCTGTCCAATCATGGAGACATTCAATCATATTCGTCTCAACAGAGCGTCCTGGGGTGAAGCCATGTTGATTCGCCGGTATTAAGTCGCATTCAAGAGCATATTTGATGACATGCTCCTTGAGGCGTCTTTCAAAAAGCCTACAGAACAAAGAGGTGATGCTAACGGGTCGGTAATTACCGGGATCAGATGATGGCTCCTTTTTTAAAATAGGTGTTATGAACGAATGCTTCCACCTCCTAGGAACCTCGCCCCTCATAAGTGACTGATTAAAAATGTATGCGAGAGGTCCACAAATGAAACAAGCTACTTTTTTGATGAAAGATAGCGGAATAAAATCAGGAGTAACAGAAGAAGAGTTGGGCCACTTAAGAATTTGCTCATAGAGCTCCTCTGCAAGAAACCACGGAACGTCACCCATTGAGCAAGACGACTCCACACCAGAATTGGGTAAACTCGAAACCGTGTCATCGTCCTTTGTAAAGGTTTTCGCGAACTGTTCTGCTAACATGTTAGCCTTGTCGTGTTCAGTGTACGCGAATGAGCTACCAGCCCTCAGACAGCCGAAGCACCTCCTATCCCGAATTTTGGTGTTCAAATATTTGTAGAAGTCGTTGCTGTTGCTAGACTCAACTATTTTCTTCTCAATGTAACTGTTATACCTTTTGAGATGGGCTAAGAACCTCTTTGTAAACTCTTTATATTTACACCACTCTCCCGAGCGCCTAGCCTCGAGAAATAAGCATTCTCGGTGACACATCATATTCTGCAAATGCCTCGGTAGTCGGACAGACTTAAAAGATGAAACGAGCTTCCAAGGGACATAATGGTCTATAGCGTGATGCAATATGGATAGAAATAGTTCGTATTTATACCCGTTACGATGTCTATATCGCGCGTTTCAAGCAGAGCAACCCATCGTAACTGAGCAAGGTAGTTGAACAAGTCTGTGAAGTTGCAAGCCGAGAAAGCCCTGCGATACACAGGTACCGCAAGAGATTCAGTGCCAGCAACCTCACAAGAGATACCACAATGATCACTATTCCCAACAGGTGGAAGGATTCTGAGATTTTTTATTAAGTGATTACTGGTACTGAGTATCAAATCCAGAACGTTGCTAAGCCGCGTTGGTTCAACAACATGCTGGGTCAGATTGTCTACGGTGCCCCATTACCACTAATCGCTGGACAAAGCGGTTATCAATCCTAATTGTCCAGCGATTAGTGGTGAAGTGCGTTCAGCCGTAGTTATGATTCCCAATCGCGCAACTGAATCGAATCGCGAAGTATAAACGTGCTCAACGTTTGCACTCTTTTTGGATTCTTTTCTCGAAAATCATAATTGTCGTCAACGTCTTAGATTTCTTGATACGCTACGTACCTATAAATCAGTCGTTCCACTTCGGCAACAATAATGGGACGCATTCTCGGCTGCCGTTTCGTTAGATCTTCAAGCAACGTTGCAACGAATGCACCAATTTGAGTTTTTGGATGACCCATTTTGTTAACCTAGCATGCTCAGAAGGAACTGAAATAATTTTGTTATATTATGCGATGCACACTGTAAGCCTAAGCAGTTCACAAACCCTTTCACCCTCAGGACGTTCGGCAAGAAGGTTTAGAGCCGTTCTTAAAGCTCGCTTGCTCAGATCCTCAACAACCAATGAGGCCAATCCCTGGAATGGAATTTGTGGGAAGCATAATAGAAAGAAAGATAACGAATAGATTAAAAAACATCAAATAGGTTTTGAAAACCAAGCGAAATCCAAAGACTTGAATGCAGTAAAACTATCAAAATAAGGGATAACGTAGGGAAAAGGCACGCAGCAAAAAAGATTGCACGTACCCTAGCCGTCCGATGTTCAATCAAGGTGGAAGGGAGAAGAGCAGGCTTAGTCACTTCGCCAGGCTCTTCCTCCACCCACCCTTCTTCCAAGAATAAAAACAGCACGTAAAATACTCGAAAAGCTTATTTGTACGATAACTTGTAAAATATGTCAAGTCTACATCTTGAACTATCTTATAAAACAAAAATTAACACAAGAATACCTCAATTGCACGCAAAAACCTCTCGTACACCAATTTGAGCTTATGTTCGAACCACCAAAGCACAAGCAGTCTTCTTCGACCGTCCTTGCTATTCGAGCTAATCTCTCCTATTCGTTTCACAGGACGCTTAAAAAAATTAACTCTCATCCAGTCACGATTCTTTCGACAATTCAAGGCACTTCAAAGGGAATTCGGCGCGGGTTTCCTTGAAGGAAGGGGGGGGGGAGTGGGAAATTCCTGACGACATAACGGGCAATGATAAGAACGATATAGTACGCTACTAAA